ATGGTATATTTACTCCCTCTATTATATGTCTGACCATAGAATATTTTAAGAGGTCTTTTTTTACTCTGCTTCTGTTTTGCATTGTTTGAATGAAGCTTTAATACTGTTCTTTATCTCCTTATACTATGTATTTCATACATAAACATGATTTTAAAAAGTAATGTACTAATTACAGAATCTTTCTGTTATTTTTATTCATAAAAAATATTAATACAATGTATACACTTTATTTAATAATGATGTATCTCCTACTGTTGAATATTTCTTCATATTATTGACCGACATCAAAATCATTTCTGAAAAAAAATGTGCTGCATATCTCTTTTTTGTCATTTGAATCCTGTGCTATATTTCCTGATGAAAATATTAAAAAGTTTTTGAAAATTTTGTGAAAGTAATAGAAGAGGGTCATTAAACTTTTTTTTCTATAATATTGCAAACATTATACATTTATTGAGTGTGTTCGAAGGCAACATGAGTTTTGTCGGACCCAAGAACCACACTGTCTGCCTGAGGCCTAACGGCCTCAGACAGACAGTTTGTTCGAGGGTCGATAAAACACATTTTGCCCGAGAACACAGTCAATAATGTCACAATTAACGTCCAAACATTGTTCCATATATTTTAACATACACATTTTTGCTATGTAAATAACTTATTTAAATGCCATAACTGTGTTCCGTAATATTTTATCTGTTCAGTAGAATTTACTTGGCGGGTTTTAAATCCCGTGCTGTCAGTTTGAGTGTAGCAATTGAGAAGAGCAGACGTACTTCACTTGCTCGAGTATTTCAGTGTATTCTTCATAAAGATAAAGTATATTTGACCAGATTTTACATCTCTTCTGAGGTAAGTTTGTTTTATTAATTTAAAGGCTTTATTTTATACAGTTTCCTGAAATGGCCAAGGACCTTAGTTCTAAACTTTGTTGTAAATTACATGAGTGAGTAATGATTGTGTGTATTGCTATCATTTCAAGTACCAGTAGTATGCTAATAGTATACGAGTATATTATAGTCTTATTATAGTATGTAGTAACTACAATGTATGGTGTAAAGTACGTGTTTATTGTACACAAATATTTCGTATAAATAGTTGTGGAGTTATGCAGTAAAATGCTTGAGTTTTGCAGTAAAATGCAGTATGCAGTAAAATGCTTTAGTATGTGCAGTAAAATGCAGTATGCAGTGAAATGCTTTAGTGTTTGCAGTAGAATGCAGTGTGCAGTAAAATGCAAAGTATATAGTATATGTTATGATATGCATGAGCACGAATCAAATTAGTGTATTTTATTGTACATTTATTATAATATGTGAATTATGTTCCCCAAACGAAGTTGGGGAACATATTGTTTTTACTCTGTTTCTTATTATTATTATTATTATTTTTCTTCTTCCTGGGAAAATTTTGTCCACGAGTGATCTTGTAAACTACACATCCGACTTAGGTGAAACCTTTTTAGGGTCAGTAGGCATGTTATGTAGAGTTGCCAAACAAAGGTCATTTTGCGCGCACGTGCTTGCAAGAGCGCGCACGTGCGACATGTGAAATTACCAATATAATGGATATTGCCGTGACTTTTCTATTTTTTGATGAATTTTTTTGAAACTCATAATGTAAGGATACATTAGTAGTATAGACAAGATAGCATGGTCAAAATAGCAAGACCTCATGCGCATGCACGTGCGCTTTGCTCTGATTGGCTGAAATTAAAGTCTAAATAAATTTCTTGTTTCTTGTCATAATCCTTTGAAATTTTGAACATAGTCCTACATTATGAAGATCTACCACACGATATATAAGAATTTTCATGAAAGCATGCGCATGTGAGTGTGCTGCAATCTGATTGGCTGAAACTTTAAATGACAATATCTCCTTTGTTTTTTGACGAAATTCTTTGAAATTTAAAATATAGTCATGCATTAGGGTATCCTACAAAATGATATAGAAAAAAATCATGAAATCACGCGCATGCACGTGTGCTGCAATCTGATTGGCTGAAACTTTAAATGGCTATTTCTCCTTTGTTTTTTGACGAAATTCTTTGAAATTTAAAATATAGTCATGCATTAGGATATCCTACAAAATGATATAGAAAAAAAAATCATGAAATCACGCGCATGCACGTGTGCTGCAATCTGATTGGCTGAAACTTTAAATAACTATTTATCCTTTGTTTTTTGATGAAATTCTTTAAAATTTAAAATATAGTCATGCATTAGGATATCCTACAAAATGATATTAAAAAAATCATGAAATTACGCGCATGCACGTGTGCTGAAATCTGATTGGCTGAAACTTTAAATGGCTATAACTCCCTTGTTTTTCAACCAAACAGGATGGGATTTAGAACATAGATAGATGTAAGGGACTCCTACAAGAAGGTATTTTCATAATGCACGTGCACGCACGTGCGTGCATTTGAAACGAGTATATTAAAAAATACTCTTGAATGAGTGATTTTTATTACTTTTGGACTGAATGCTCTAATATATAGTATATTGAAATATATAAATAGTGTAGACAAGATTATCTTGTCATAACGCACATGCATTCACATGCGCTTGGGTGCAATGCTAAAAATTGAATATAATTGATATCCTTCTGGGAAACATTGTTAAAGTCAAATATGCACCGAATTTGTCTTATTTAATGAAGCTTACAGGGGATATGGCACCGAAAGGGGGTTGGGGAGCGTTTGGGGAACATCTGTAACGGTTCCCGTTACAATTAGCACTAGTTTACAATGATTTTGTAGATCCCAAATTGGTCCAGGGAGCCATTCCACCCAAACAACATTCCAACGTAGAACTTTTACATATGTGTTAAGCCTTGAATAAATGTGATATATTTAAAGAACTGTTCTAGTATTCTTTTTGTGTGGCGACCTATCGGCCCGCCTGCGACAAAAAAATGTTTTTTTATATCTTCAATTTTAGTTTTTTTTTGACACACATGTATTTTATACTGTCTTCCGTGATGTAACCTCAGGTCTGTCACTTTAAAACATTAACAAATGAAATGAGATAAAGCTCCGCCCATTCTGTGAAGTAAGCGGTCCAAAATCTCACTCAGCGGTCCAACATCGATTTTTCATGCCCGCTCAGCAAAACATAAGAAACATAAGACTTCTTTTCGTACAGATTTGTATAGGAACAAAATTTTAAAGGTATAACAAAACTTTATAACACCTACCTATGAGTCTGGAACATTTTATGTTTCGTTGTTCTTAACATTAAAGACCCAAAAGGTTCTCACTATCTCTAGTGAGATTTACCACCAAGATAAGTTTGTTTACGGATAAGGAAAAAATATTTAAGGAAGAGTAATTAGAAAGTGACAAACACGTGAAGACATGATAAACAGAAAAGCTATGTTACGTTTCAGTTTTCACCACAGTGAATTCATTCAAATTTCTGCAGAATTTTTTTTTTGACTAAGTGTTTTTGCAGTCATCTAAAAAATGTCTTTATTTGACAAATGTGATTGCATAGGAACGGCTAAACGAGGTACCAGCGTGATATTGCAATTCATATGATTACCCATGAGGGATACATAAGAAATATCACCTTGTGGTATCTTTTCCAAATGCCTGGTATCATGCACCTTTTTTTGTGCGTAAACATGTTTAAGTACCTAGACTTCAATGACAAATTCTAGTATTTAAATTATTTATGGTAATAAATGCTATGTTTAAATTGAATGTTTACATACTATCAACATAGACTAGCTTGCGCATGCGCATTTATAGTCTTCCTTTGTAAACAGCACGAATCAGCCTGACACCATCCACCCCTCCTCCTCAAGCTATGTTCACATCCTAGACTTCCCTTAATGTTATGTTTTAGGCGATGTAATGCCCCATAACATATTTTGCCTTATGCAATGTTTTTTCTAGTCCCATTAATGTACCAGTCCAAGTATTTTTTACTTTTTTACTTATACATATACATTACCATGTTGCACATAATTAATTAAGCAGATGCATAATATGTTCATGCAGTCTTGTCTTTTCTAGTAGGACTGTTAGCCTAGTTGCATGTTTCTTGATTGAGGCATACTGTGTATTTCATGCAACAGGCTATTATGTGTATTCTATTTGTTTATTGTTAATTATATTCAATAAAAAACCTATTTTATCTCAGGCACACATACATATTTTTTTCTTAACTATATTTCACAATTGTAAATCATAGTTTACAGACGTGAATCTATGTTTATCAAAAAAATCTATTGTTAACGTTTTATTACAGACAGATGAACTTAAACTATCAATCGTAAACCATAGCTTACAATCGTTAAATATAGTTTTACAGATGAAAACTATAGTTAACGAATTTGTTCACGGTTTGTTAACTATAGTTCACAGTCGATAAACCTAACCCTAACCCTAACTGTGAAACTATGTTGAGCTCATTTTTGTGAATTTTGACGTGCCATTTAAAATAATGAAACTATTTAAAGGGTCTTAAAAACACATTTTAATGGTATTTGAAACTATGAATAGTAATTTCCTGTTTACTGCATATTTAAGTTCTAGCCTTGAATTTTTGAATGGGTAAACCAAGACGATCATGTATGGTATTTAAATCACAGTAACAATAGTTGGGGTGCATGTGGTACTCGTCTTGTAAAATGATATCTGCGCTTGAACATATATCTATCAAGAGTAGATTTTATATATGTTTTATAAAAAGAAAGTAGATATAGTGGGGGAATTTTCTGCATTAAGTATAGAACCTGAAATATTTCAGGTTGGACTGTTAGAATGGACACCATTAGAGCTACTCAAACGTAAGTTTCTTCGATAAATATTTCATTTAAATACACGAGGCAATTAAAGTCCCTGGGTTATGTAAAAATAATTTTTGTTGAACTTTATAAAATTTTATCAAATGAATATTGAATAACATATGAAATATATAATTGAAATAAATTCACACAGTATCATTTTCAGTAGGACATCCATGCAGCGTATCTCAGAGTCGCTGTTCGTCGGAATGTGTCGTAAACTTGGGACGTCACAGCAGGTGGCCATGAGGAGAGATGTGATGGAAATCGGTGATATGATACAAAATCAAAATGCGGCTGCAAAGACTGATTCACCGGGTACACTCTTAAGTGGAAGTTACAGAGAAGGATTCAGACTGAAAGAATCAGACATTGACACGATGCTATGGCGAGTTGATCATCGTGTGATATGGGAATTATCCCACTCTCAGTATTACAACATGCACAGTCAAACACTGATCCTCGGTGACATCTCTAATAGTCCTCCAGGATTTACTTTGTTATATTTACTGTCACCAAGCAAGCTCAGAAAAGTTCAAAATGCTTGTGTTAGAATTGGTAATAGACATTATATATCTAGTTCCAAATACAGACACATAGCATGTGCCTTACCCTCATCAAGTTACATGTCTCCGCACGGACCATGTGCCAGTGGGTTTATTGGACCAATGGAATTTGATTTAGCCCACTGTTTTGTTAGTGACTTTTGGCCTCCATCTGCATCTTCTTGGATAGATAGATGTCACTCATGGCCCCCATCTAATATTGTTGATGATATAGTACAGAACGGATGTCACCTAGTACCAATAGGACATAAACTTGGACAAAATGAAGGCAATGAATGGAGAATTTCTTTCTCACGGGCGGAATGTACACTCGTGAATGCCATGAACCATTGCCAGTTCTTAACTTACGGCTTGCTCAAATTGGTTTTAAAGGAAATTATTAACAATGGATTAGATGATGGTGAGAAATTACTTTGTTCCTATCACATGAAGACAGCAGTTTTCTGGGCGATTCAACAAAATATAATTCCTCACTGGTGTCCACAAAACCTACTGGACTGCTTCTGGGTGTGTTTTAAGCTAATCTTTAAGTGGGTGTATGAAGGATTCTGTCCCAACTTTTTCATTCCGGCAAATAACATGTTTCTGGGTAATATTCATGGTGCAGCACAAAAACTTCTATTCATTAGATTGTATGATTTGTATGAGAAAGGGTTTGCATTTCTTCTACACAGTCCTTCTATAAGATTTTCCATTATTACTGCCCTTTATAACCTTGACAACCCCTTCCGAACAGATGAACACATTCTGATCTCTGAAAAGGAATTTGATATAGAGTTATTTACAGAAATACATAAAAATGATTCTATATGTATATACAAAGCACCTCTAAAGAGCTGTTTGATGTACTTAGAGGCAATAGAACAGTTGCTTAGTGCACATTCCATGACGCAGTATCAAATCCTTGTGTTGCAGAAACGTACGGCCAATATCCTTCAGAACCTTGCCTTTACAGTGCCATTACACACACTGATTTGTGCATCTGAAAACAAGATGAGGTATAGAGCTGACAAGGTTTCCTGTCACACGCTAAAATTAGCAGCGAAATTTGGTTGCATCACTGACATGCTGTACATAGCTATGTATTATTACAAGACATTTAGATTTCAGAAAGCTTTATCTATTATAGACGTGCTAAAGTTCAAGTTATCACACCCATATGTGATATATAACTCTAATGTCAATGCAAGGATATACACAGAGACTGTAGGTGGACAATCTTTGTTTTCAAAGATGAGACATGCTGTAGCAGAGGACATCACACTGGAAAATGTAATCTGTTATGTTTATGAATTAATGCCAGAGCAACAGTCTGGTCTACAGAATATGACTTTTTTTTTAACTGTCCGATTCTTTGTGTTATTGCACATGATAGAGATCCTGTGTTGCAGACATGTAGACACAATGAGAGCACAAATAGCTCTAAATGATCTACAGACCCTAGTTCACTATGATCAGGGACAGCTTTTAGATTGCAGAGACATATCCTGGCAGATTCTAGGGATCTGTCAACAGGTGACAGGGAACCTCCAGGCTGCTCTATACTCATACCAACAATCTCTCAGGCAATGTCATTTAATAAACAGAATACAAATAGCTACGTTAATGAGAATACAAGATATTTGTCAATGAAAATCATTGAATTAATAATAACTTAAAATTGGGTTCTATACTTACAATAACCCGCTAGGCCAGGGACAATTGAAAATTGAGGTCAGACTACTTAACAGGTCTTTAAGTTTGTCCTTCAGGACTATTGTGATTCTTAAGAAACAGTCACTCGGAACAATTGAAAATTAATTAAAGGATAGCACAAGCTCCAAATTTTGTTAGAGTCATCTAGGGTATTCCAAATCAGCCTGTGTTTCTCGATAATTTACCTTATCGCTGTACCTCGCACGACACATCAACACGTGTGACAATCTACGTCTTAATTAAAAGCATGATTTATTATCAGGATAAAAAATAAAGAGATGAACTTCAAACAAAAATTAAATTAAAAATGGTCATCGATATCGTAGCATTGGTGGTTGGGAAAATATGACATATTAGGAAATAAGGCAAATTTACAAGCATTGTGTTTTTCATAACATTCCAAATTTTAAAAGATAATTGCTGAAGTCGTAGCCCCCTACTGTTTGGGTTATTTCGAATTAAGCCTGTACATGACAGCAGCTGTTGAACGCTTGTTAAATCTGTAAGATAATTTTGTAACATGATTTTTCTTTAAATGCGAGATATAAGAAAGTTATAATATGACAAAGCAAGAGTTAGTAAAGACTTGTCCATGTATACATTGGTCTGTATCGTTCTTTTTATCATACAGTAAAAGACTTTCAATACAGATGTGTATAAGTATGTGTACGTTCATGTTAAAAAATTATATCATAATACATGATAATTGATTTTCATACATTTTACCATCATAAATATTATTTTTGTTATTCAAAATATAAAATGTGATATGAAATACCCCAAAAGAAAAAGTGATTTTTTTTGGTCAGTCATTGAGTGACATATTTATCCAAATTACAACAAGAATACAGGACTTGGTATCTCTTTTTCAAAAATTTCCGGGGAAGGCAACCCAAACCCCCATCAGCAGGAGGGAAACACCCTCCTGCACCTACCACCCCCCCCCCCCCCCCCCTCGTCGCTTGGCGTCCGTCAGCTGCCTTTGGCTGCTGAACAACTAATACATGCACAGGGCTAGTAGGAACAAGAAATTACTAGCTCTGTTGGCAAGTTTGGTTTTAAAGTAAGTGTTGATCCCTGCTCCTGATGAGTTTAAGATAAAGGGGGTACAAGTATTTTTATTGCATTATAAACTGTATTGAGTAACTGTTCCAGAGTAAAGATATTTTGTTGCAAAGCCAAATATATGTGGTTATTTGTCTGAGTTAAATTACTGTATGATATTATGAGATTTTAAAGACTAAAAGCCAGAGATATGAAATGAAACAGTATCTAATAATTTTTAAATAAAATTGATATCTTGTTATGAAATAAAATTCATAAATGCACCACTTGTCATTTATTTAAGATCATCAAGAAAAATAGCAAAAAAGTTTTTCTAAATCTGGAGAAACAAAATTGATATACCTTTTAAAAATTAGTTTCTATAAAATTATTAACGAAATAAAGTAAGACATTTAAATTTTGAGCTTTCGTAAAAAAATCGATGTTTGGGCGCTGAGCGAGATATTGGACCTGTCAATGAGATGTTGGATAGCTTATGTCACACGAAGTGCAGAGCCAAATCTCATTTGCATTCGTCAGTGTTCGGCAGTGAAGGAATTGACCGCGTGTAACATTAAATTACATCACAGAAGACTGCACATCATACATGTATGTCAATTTTCTTTAAAAAAAATAATATGTATAACAAAATATTCATCGACTGTGCTCTTGAGCAAAACGCGTTTTTTTTACCCTTGAACCAAACTGTATACTTGGTGGAGTATGTAGTTTGGTACTAGGGTCCGACAAAATGCATGTTGTCCTCGAACCCAGTCAATAACTGTAAAATATTGCACGTTGTGTGCTATTCATACTAGTACTTTCGGCCACACTTACTTATAGACATACAGGCCAGTAGCAACGGATGAAAAGTGGGGATAGGCAATTTTACCCCAAAAATCTGACCTGCAAAACAAAAACCCGAACAAATAAAAAAAAGTGACCAGAGGGAGGGGAAACTAAATTCCCTGGCAAGCAAAAACAAGAAGACCAGGGGCCACATCGCTCACCTGAGCACATCGGCTAGGAAAAAGCACATGAGAATGATTTCAAATGAGTTTCATCTTTCCTGTCTCAATTGTTCTTGAGAAAAAGAAATTTTGATAGGCCATTTTGGCCCCCCTACCCCCGGGGGTCAGAATTTGAACAAACTCGAATCTACACTACCTGAGGATAATTCCACATAAGTTTCATCTTTCCTGGCCCAGTGGTTCCTGAGAAGAAGATTTTGGAGGATTTTTCCTATATACTCCTATGTAAAAATTTGATCGGCCATTTTGGCCCCACCCTACCCCCGGGGGTCATGATTTGAACAAACTTGAATCTACACTACCTGAGAATGATTCCACATGAATTTCATCTTTCCTGGCCCATTGGTTCTTGAAAAGAAGATTTTGAAAGATTTTTCCGATATACTCCTTTGTAAAACTTTGATCGGCCATTTTGGCCCTAAACTACCCGCGGGGGTCATGATTTGAAGAAAATTGAATCTTTTTTACGTATACCTGAGGATGATTTCACATGAGTTTCATCTTTCTTGGCCCAGTGGATCTTGAGAAGAAGATTTTTTAAAGATTTTTCCTAGATATTCCTATGTAAAATTTTGACCGGCCATTTTGGCCCTACCCTACCCCCGGGGTCATGGTTTTAACAAACATAAAGCTACACTACCTGAGGAAGATTCCACATGAGTTTCATATTTCCTGGCCCAGTGGTTCTTAAGAACAAAATTTTTAAAAATTGACATTAATTTTTCTCTAATTCATAATTATCTCCCCCTGGAAAAGGGCGTGGCTTTATTTGATCAAACTTGAATCGCCTTTACCCAAGGATACTTTGTAGCAAGTTTGGTTGAAATTGGCCCAGTGGGTCTTGAGAAGGAGATGAAAATGTAAAAAGTTTACGACAACGACGACGACAACGACATCGACGACAGACAACGGACAAATTTTGATCAGACCGTTAAAATGTCCAAACCCTTGAGTTTACCTCTGCTTAATCAGCTAAAAGGGGTCCTGAACAAATAAAAATGTGGCCGAAGAGACGGGAAACTAAATTCTCTGGCAGGCAAAAAAAAAAAACGATAAAATGTCCAAACCCTTGAATTTACCTCAATCTGCTTGATCAGCTAAAAAGTGAAGTAGCCAACCAGCATCTAGCAGAAGTTTTGCTACAGCAGCAATCCATACTCAGTAGTTTTAACAGACATATTCCAAGAATACTAAAGCACATGGCTCAAATGAAATAAAAAAAAGTCAACCTCTCTTGAAAGCTCTTTAAGGCTTATTGGAGCCTGGATAAGGTACAAGGTGAGCTGAAATGATGAAGGTTAATAATATGAATATCTCATATATTCTGTTAACAATATAAAACATAAAAATGCCTAAAAGGAGTAAATATTTTTTGCCTACCGATGTAACTATAGATGGTGACTGTTCTGTCTAGACATAAGTTTGAACATAATTTGAAATCAAGGATTCATGGAAAAAACTTACGACTTTTCAACTTTGTATACAACCATTCCCCACGATAAATTAAAGTCCAGGCTTTGATATTATTGACAGCTGCATTTTCAATAAAAATGAGACTCGTAAATTAACTTACCTGGTCATTGGCCATTTGCAAATTTATTTTGTTAAAACACGTTCTCATTATACACACAAGTACTCTGAAGTTGACGTCAAAAAATGCTTGAGTTTCTAATTGACAATATCTACGTGGTTTTTGGATACCAGGTCTTCCAACAATCTATTGGAATTCCCAATTAAGCCCTGTTATTAGCAGACTTATTTTTGTATTCATATGAAGATAATTTGTGCAAAATCTTACACGTGAAAGAAGAAAACACTTGATGTGGCCTTCAACTCGACATTAAGATATATCGACGAGGTATTGTCAATTAACATTTATTACGACTTAGTTAGCTCGTTATATCGAGATAATTATTTCTAAACAATTTATATATCTCAGTTATAGGAAGTATACAACACCGAGTTGATCAAACTGGCAAAATTGTGCATGATGAAAATTTTATGGAAAACAACAAACAAGTTTTTTTTTTTGCCTTATGCATTTGATTCATACTGTTTAAAAGACCGAAGGCAAACATACGCGTACGGAAATTTATGACTGGGTTTTGTTGTTTTGTTATGTGTGGGCTATAATGCATCAAAATTTGAATTGATAAAATTTAGAACATGACAGGGCAGTAGTCTCCAAATCTCACTTCATCAAAACATTTTTTAAAAAATAATATACGAGGAATTGTATATCACAATCGTATATAAGATACCTTGCATTAACTGCGGGACATCTTCCAATCATGTCTCTGACATTAACTTTTAGCGGTATAGACATTAGGTATGAACAAAACATGTAGTTGTCATAAATAAATATTGCCAAACTTTGAAGTGGTTGTATTTGGCAATATTACTAAAAAAACTTATTAATTATGATGCGTAAATGTGTTCGCCGAAAAATTTTTATACTTAGCAAAACATTATCATTGACAAGTAGATAGTTGAAGACTTAATCAAAATCATAACATAGCACAAATTGGATGTTCAGCCCTTTTTCAATTGATCAAATTAAATTCGAATGTCAATCATTAATTAAAATTCAAAGGCATCAAAACTACAGCCGTTTTAACGAAATACATGATTTTAAATACTTTTCATTATTCCAATCTGTTTCATGTGCTTAAATCATTAAAAGAGATAACTAACTCGACATTACAAGATAACTAATTTGTTATAACAGGATACGAAGGGGTATCAAAAAGTTCGTTGACCAGCGCCATATCATTAAAACCGGTTTAGTTACATCAATGTATTTAAATAATATCTAGATGCTGCAACCTCAAACACGACGTTTTTTCGACCTAGGTGTAACTG